TATATTCTTGTGTTAATACCAGGGTGTTCCATTTTTATATTTCTGTATTCTTGTGTCAATACAATAGCATGCTGATCAGCACAATGTTAGAATCTTCATACCTTATGGGCAAGTCCCCACATCTCATTCTTCAAAATTGACATGGGTGGCTTTGTTATATATAAATTTTTTTTTTTTTTTTTTTTTTAAACAGAGTCTTTTTTTTTTGACAGGCTGGAGTGCAGTGGTGAAATCTCGGCTCACTGCAACCTCCGCCTCCTGGGTTCAAGTGATTCTTCCGCCTCAGCTGAGGTGGAAGAATTGCTTGAGCCCAGGAGTTCGATCTCTTGACCTCATGATCCATCCACTTTGGCCTCCCAAAGTGCTGGGATTACAGGCGTAAGCCATTGCACCCGGCCTCAATTTTTTTTTAAAAAAAGACATGGAATATATTTGTCATATACGTTTTACCATTACCTTGTCAAATTCCATAGAAAATGTGTAATGTTGAAATTTTGATTAGAATTACACTGTTTATAGATTAACTTGCTTAGAACTGACATCTTTATTTTTTTTCATGTCCCAGAATAAATAATACCTCTCCATTTATTCAGACCTTCTTTAATGTGTTTCAGTACAGTTGCATACCTTTTTCCCATATAAGTCTTTCTCATTTATTCTTTATATATATGTATATTTATTATTATTATTATTTTTGAAATTGAATCTCGCTCTTTTGCCCAGGCTGGAGTGCAGTGACACGATCTTGGCTCATTGTAGCCTCCGCTTCCCAGGTTCAAGCGATTCTCCTGCCTCAGCCTTCTGAGTAGCTGGGGTTATACGCAATGCACCACCACACCTGGCTAACTTTTTGCATTTTTTTTTTGAGACAGAGTCTCACTCTGTCACCAGGTGCCAGGCTGGAGTGCAGTGGCACGATCTCGGCTCACTGCAACCTTCCAGGCTCGGTCGATCCTCCCAACTCAGCTTCATGAGCAGCTAGGACTACAGGCACATACCACCATGCGCGGCCAATTTTTTTTCTTTGTTATTTTTTGTAGAGATAGGGTCTTGTTATGTTGCCCAGGCTTGTCTCAAACTCCTAGGCTCAAGTGATCTCCTTACTCCACTTCCCAAAGTACTGGGATTACAGGTGTGGGCCACAACACCTGGCCAGGAAGACTTGATTTCTGAAAAAGATCTCATTAAAAATAGCAATAAAGGCCAGGCTCAGTGGCTCACACCTGTAGTCTCAGCACTTTGGGAGACTGAGGCTGATGGATCACTTGAGTCTGGGAGTTTAATATCAGCCTGGGCTACATGGTGAAACACCATCTCTACAAACAAATAGAAAAATTAGCCAGGCATGGTGGCATGTGCCTACAGTACCAGCTACTCGGGAGGCTGAGGTGGAAGGATGGATTGAACCAGGGGCAGGGGTTGAGGCTATGGTGAGCTGTGATCACACCACTGCACTATAGCCTGGGTGACAGAGTGAGACCCTGTCTAAAATAATAATAATAATAATAATAAAGTCTTCCTATTAGAAAGGAATACTTCGGGTCAGGCACGGTGGCTCATACCTGTAATCCCAGCACTTTGGGAAGCTGAGGAGGGTATATCACGAGGTCAAGATATTGAGACCATCCTCGCCAACATGGTGAAACCCTGTCTGTACTAAAAATACAAAAGTTAGCTGGGCATGGCTGTGCACGCCTGTAATTCCAGCTACTCAGGAGGTTGAGGCAGGAGAATCACTTGAACCAAGGAGGCGGATGTTGCAGTGATCCAAAATTGCGCAACTGCACTCCAGCCTGGCAACAGAGCAAGACTACCTAAAAAAAAAAAAAAAAAAAAAAGGAACAGTTTGTATTTTTGTATATTGATTTTGTGTCCAGAAACCTGAGAGCGATTGTGATAGGAGTGTGGCAGTGTGTCACATTACTAGATTTTCTGATGTTGTGTCCTTGCATTCCAGAAAACAGTCCTACCAGGTCATGACTAAATTCAATTTTCTAGTAATTTATTTACTATTTTAAAGAGATGCTTTTGAACAGAATCTGTACTCTGAGAAACTGGCTGAACAGAGTGACTCCATCTGTCAGAGAGGCAAAACGCTTATGCGGAGTGGGCTGTTTGGCCATGGATCCTGGGGCAGCCTTCTCTGCCTTGTTGACCCTGCTCTGTGCCCTTTGGCTGGCTTCTCCTGCTGATCATCAGAATACCTTCTTCACTCTGTTTTATTTTTATTTTATTTTATTTTATTTATTTATTTTTTTTGAGACGGAGTTTCACTCATGTTGCCCAGGCTGGAGTGCAATGGCACGATCTCGGCTCACCGCAACCTCCGCCTCCTGGGTTCAGGCAATTC